CTGCTAGGAGGTTTTCCTGTTGACAACGGCTCAGCCACAACACGTCTTCAAACAATGGGGGCCCACTTGACCGGGCAGGAGCGAGAGAGCAGTGTACGGGCCATGTGAGCTGGGTCGGAGGTCCGCCCGACGCTCCGTGGTGCGGCAGGCCAAGCACACGCACTCAATGAGGTCTAGCTGCACGCCAGGGCTTCGCCGGGTGTCGCTTCCCAGCTGCGTCCCTGAATCTCCAGACCGATGCCTGGGGCTCGTGCAGCCCAGAGACCCCCAAATGGCGATCCTGGCAGCAGAGGCCGGTTGGAGGGGTGTGGAAAGGGGACTTTTGGCTCCTGGACACCACGGCTTCCTTTCTTATTTCCAAATGTTGTGGAGCTTTGTGCAGACACAGGAGCCAATACTCATTTGACTTTAAAAATATAATTTCGTTTTTATAGCAAAATCAGTGGGGAGGGGGTAGGTCTTTCCTGTCCAGGTCTAAAGTTTTCAACCCTCAGCACTATCCACGCCTCTCCCAGAGCCAGAGGGAAACCAGGAGTGCTGGATACCCAGCAGCGCTCCCGTTTCCCTTGTTATCCTCCAACGCCCCATTCGCACACCCATAGTCCCCCCGTCCGACCTTCAGAACAGCTGGCAGGGTTGTGCCACCGGGAACAAGTGCTGGTCTCTCCCCGGGTGTACCTGATCGCATGCAGGTAACTTAATCCAGGTGAGACGAAAGCACCGGCGGCCTCAGCCCGGCAGCCAAGCCCAGAAGGGGGCTGGATGGATCCCAGCAGGGCTGACGCCGAAAGCTGCTTCTCTGCCTCTCCTCTGGCTTAATTGGACCTTAGCCAAGCTGCATCTCCGGGATCACCGGAAGAACAGTGGAGGTCTTCGAGCATGTGCAGAGCACATCGCCCTACGATGTTTGGGGCAGAAGGGAGCTTGTGGCGAGGAAAGCGGGACTCGCCATTCCTGCAACACGCGGTCTGGGAGCGCCACCTGGTGGCCTTGGGCCGGGCCAGCAGCCACCGGTGGCGCAAAATGCGCACGGAGGGGCCGGCGGGATCGGCCCCTGGAGCAGCGGATCCGCGCAGGCCCAGCGCCGCAGCGCCGTGTCGGGCCCTGGACCGCCTCTGGGACAACGGATGGACAAGTTTGCGGAGTCGGTTTATTGCCCTTCCAGGCCACCTTCCTGGATCAGCAAGGGCCTTTGAGAACAGTTCGGAAATCAAGAATGATAAAGCAAGACAAAGTCAATGTTAAAAAGCAGCCTTTAAAACGATTACAGCAGTTCTTTACAAGCCAAATTAAATATTTGGATTGAACAACTTGGGGGCTGCAACGAAATGCTGCAGCGCACCCCATTGTTCAAGCAGTAAAGCGCCTCTTCGGGGTTCCTCATCTTCTTCTTGGGTACCACGAGTGCTTAGGGGCCCAAGCTAGCTAGTTCACGCCCTGGCCCTTTTATTTTTTTCCCTTATTTTTTCCTAGGATCCTCATTTATTGAGAGGTATACAAATGAAATAATTTTTTTTCTTTTCCATCCAACACTTGGAAAAAGCAGTTGGGATGGAGATGGAACTGGTGTAGAGGATCCATGCAGTCCCCCCCCCCCCCCGGGGCAGGATGTGCTCCCCCCCCATTCTGGTTCTGCACCTCTGACTTCAGATGCTATTTTTCAACGCAGGCTCCTGAAAGTGAGGCTTAAAATTAAAAGGTTTGACTTTGAAACATGACCCCTATCTCATCTCCAACCTGGACAGCCGCATCTCTTTCCCCTGGTCTTTCATTAGTGACACCCAAAACATAGATTGTTCTCACCCCTCATGTACCCACCTGCATCCTCACAACAACCCTGCGAGGTAGGAGAGGCTGCGAAGTGGCAGCTGGCCCAAGCTGAGCTTTGCAGCAGAGTGAGGGCTGGACCTCAGTTTCCCCTTTGTAGCTTCAGCCAGGGATGCAGCTTCTTCCAGGCCGTGCTCCCCAAATGCCGCATTTTGTGTTTGGAGTTCTTCTGGCCATTAACGAAGCCAGGCAAGAGGCTTTGGGCCTTTCAGAGGGGGAAAAACCCTGGCGGGAACAAGCCGCCAAATGAAGAGGGGACCCCAGGAGAACAAGGTGCCGCTCCTGAATCTATCGCCTGTTCACACTCCACACGACCCCCTCTTCCCTCGAACCCCTTGCGTCCGACCCCAAAGGCTCTGGCTGGGGCTGGGGCAGCACGGAGGGGGACACACTCGTGCCCTACAAAACTGACAGCCAGGATGGGGGAGAAGCGACTGGCTGTCAATTCATAGGTCATAGCTGTGTGCCCTCGGTCCGCTCACGTCCCTCTTCCTCTTCCTCGCCCTCCCGTCCAGCTCCCGTGGCTGAACCGGGACTGCTGAGCAAAGCGCCCAGTCGTATCCAGGTGGGAGCCCGGCACCGCCTGCTGCCTGCTTCCATGGCATCGCACAGTAAGGCTTGCCCCTTGCAGCCACGGTCCGGGCCACCATCCCGGACCGCTTCCCTTGTCCCGCAACGGCGCACTTTGCTCCAGAGCTTCGTCAAAAGCTTTTTGGAATCCTGAGTAAGAAATACCTGCTCCAAGGATCCTAAACGGTGAGACAGGATACCGCCCTGGCGGAAGGGCGCCGCATGAGCCGGGAGGAGGCATTTCTGCTCCGCGCGTGCCCCTTTTGCGGCCCGGCAAGCCGCGATGGCAAAGATGCTCCCAGGCACGGCTCATTCTGGCGGAGTGCCTGCCTGGCACGCAGAAGCCCCCAGCCTCAATTCTCAGCACCCCCCGTTTTGTACATACTTAGAAACATAGAAACAGAGGAAGTTGGAAGGGGTCTCCCGGGCCATCTAGTCTGACCCCAGCTCCGCTCGTGACATGCCCACCCTGTGCATGTCCAACCTATCCTTGGGCACATGGAAGCCAGTTGTGGGAAACCCCTTTCTTTGCTAAAACCCAGGCAGCTTCTGCAAGTTGCTCCCCCTGCCTGGAGGGGCACGGTCCCTTCTTCAGAGACAGCTGCTGATGCAAAGTCGGTCCAGTCCCATGTCCTTTGAAGGACACATTACCCTAAAAACGGAGGGCCAGCAGGTGCCCATTTCCAGGTAGCAAGCGACAGCAGGACAGGGGAGAGAGCCACCAGCCTGCAGCTCACCTCCTCTGTCTCCCCAGCTCAGGCGAGACCGCAGTATTCCCATTTACAGAAATCAATTCCAGGTTTGCCGCTCTCCATACGCAAAGAGGCCTCCTTGCCGAGGCCACAGCTCTGCAGCATTTGGATCCAGACCTCCCCGTGCTCCTCGTCGCCCAGAATCCCGCGCAGCGCTGGTCGCCCATCCAAAGTAACAGCCCCCCCAGTGGAATGTCGTGTCACTTCCACATGGAGTCGCTGTTACACCCGATGGGTGTCCGTCCTTCTGGCCGGCGAGCGGAGACACACTGGGCTCTCTTCTCCTGAGCGTGGCCACCAGGCACGCTTGCCGAAGACCTGCAGTCTCGGGAAAGCGGGGTCCCCGGTGCAGCTCTCCTCACAGTGCAGAATTTCCCGGCCGGCCGGCCGGGCCAGCGGCCTGCAGAGTTGTAGCCGTGAACCCCCGCCAGAGCTGCACAAGCGCCTGCACTGGCACACGCGGCCGTTGCGGTTGGGTTGTGTAAGGCTCAGTCTCTCCCAGCATCAAACGATGGTCTGGTGCGAAGCCCAGGTTCCGGCGGAGCTGCTGCACGCGCTGCAATGGCCTCCGTGCCTCTTCCTGCTGGCTGGCTGCAAAGGGACCACCGGCTTGTGCTACGTTCGCATTTCTGACTCTGAACGACGACGGCCGAGACGCCCGGCAGGAGGCCAGGAGCAGAAAGTTTGCCACTGGAATCTTGTGGGGGGGGGGGTCTGGCCCTGGGGGATCCACCAGCCCTCCTGCCCCCACCCAGGAATTAATCAGCATCGATATATTGCTCCAGGCCAGGGATATTCCTGCCCTTGCAGTGCCACCTAGTGGTTGCGCCTTGGGACACGCAGAAAGGCAGGGAGAGAAAACCACAGGGGGCGAAGCTCTTGCAAAGGAGCCCAGCTTAATCCCAGAAAGAACCCCAAAGCAGCGAGTTAAGGGGGGAGCGTTGAAAGCATCACGTGGAAAAGACCTAACACAGAGCAGCTCCTCCTGTTCTTCAGGCACATCGTACGCGGCAAGGACCCATCCCTCAAGATCTGCTCTGAAGCGGCTGTCCCTCCGCTTGGGGTCTCCGGCGCTGTGTCTCGGGGTGCCATTCCTGACACCCCTTGGCCTCTCCTGATCTGAGCCTCTTTTAATGATCATTTCTTAACCGAGGGGCTCGCTCGCTGAAAGGTAGCGGTGTGCTCTCCTGTACTGCTTTCTGTCAGCCTGAGAGAGCTTGAGGGGGCGCCTCCAAGGGCCGCCTGGTCCTTAGGTCTCTGGGTGGGTCACATTCCCGCTCCCCTTAACAGCTTCCCGGGAAACAACCACCTGGAACTCCGTCTTGCAAGCCCCTTTTGGGAATGGGTGCGCCCGGCTGCCCGGCAGCCATCTTGAGAGACGCCCGCTCGGGACTCCTCTCGGGCGGCCGACCCTGGACGGTGGCTCCCCACCCACGTGTCCATCCCGGGCTGGCCGGGACCCCTCCTCTGCCCCGGAGCGCAGCAAGCCGGGCAGCGCAGCCGTGGCGGAGTGTTGGCAGCTGTGGCGCCGCAAAGGAACTTTGTCCAGGCGAGCACCTGGCACCCGCAGCCCGCTGTGGCCGGGCGATGAAGTGGCGGAACGGAGGGACTCTGGACCTGCCAGCCGCAGAGGCCTCCGCCTCGAGCAGCTGGACCTTTGGGAAAGAGAGCAGAGAGCAAACACGGAGGCGTGAGCGGCGGCCGATCCGCTGGGAAGTGGGTGGGCACGAAGGGACCCGGGCGGGCACCCCACCTCCTGCCCCGGGCGGCCCTGCTCTTTGGCCCCTGCCTTGCCATCGAGGCTGCGCTGCGGGTGGCCAGCTGGGGGGGGCGTGTGGGGCCAGGGAATCCATGCCTGCCACGGCCTCGCGGATCCGGTCCCCCGGCACTGAGTGGGTGGAAACGGAGAGGCCTGGTGCTGGGGGTCCCCGTAGCACCCCCCACTCGTGGGCATCATGGGGGCCGGACCCCGGTGGGCCTGCAAGGCCCTCAGAAGCGGACCTGGGACGGGCTGTTGTCCTTCACCCGAAGGGGGCTGGGACGGGGAACGGCGTGTGGCCACACACAGAAGGCTTAGCGCGCCCAGGAGCACCGTCGCTGGGGCTGAAATCGCCACGGAGAAGCCAGCAGGCTCTCCAGGACAAGGTGACCTTGGGCCGCTCGTTCTCTCTCTCAGCCTGGCCCACACCACAGGGGTGTTGTGAGCATAACACAAGCGGAGGAAAGAACATGTACGCTGCCCTGGGCGGGACAGAAGCTGGGTTTGAGAAATATTTAAGCGAGGAACAAATCTCTGGGGCAGAGCTAGAGGGTTCAAGGTCCCGTTCGTTGTTCGAGGAAGTCTGGAAACACCCTCTTGCTCCCAAATTCGGAGGCGCCCGCCTGCTCCCCCAGATGGCTCTGGGATCCAGGTGCAGCCTTTGCATAAGCACCTGGCGGCCAGGACGCAAGGGGCAGGTGGGGGGGATCGACGCTGCGCCACGCGGGCCGAGCCCCCCGGAGGAGGCGGGGATGCAGCGCTGGAGTGGGGCAGGAAGGCTCGGGGGCGCTCGGAAGGGCACTCACCTCCGCCACGACCCTCCAGCCCGGCGTGCTCCCCACCTCGGCTGTGCCTTCCACCGGCCGTCCGGCTCATAAAGCGCAGGAGGGTTAATCATTCGCTCGGCTGCAAATATTTGATAAGCTGTTCGGGGATTCAAAGTGCAGCTGCCCGAGGCGCTCCGGCAGGGCCCGAACCAGGCGGGAACTTGGCGTCTTCACCCCGGCCTGCCCCACGCCGACGAGTCTGCCCCTCCTCACGGAGGGCCGGGAATTCGCTTCCCACGTTCCCCGAGACGCCGTTTCTCTGCTCAAACTTCTGAAAGGCGACGCTGGAATTGAAGCGTGGCTGTAAAGGCCACCGGAGGGAGCCCTGCCCGTGCCTAGGTGCAGCCTGAGTGGGGGTCGGATGAGGGACTCCACTCTGCATGTGCTCAGAGGACGTCCCACGAATCATGCCGCAAGCCATCGGCCCTTGCGCGGCAGGAAAGGGGTCCGGACAGACTGCGTGCAAGGCAACGCGAGCCCATCTTTCTCTCCCCAGCCCCGGTCTTCCTTTCCCAAACTGGGGGCCACGGGGGTCCCGGCGTTCCCTCCCCTCAGAAGCCCCAGGCAGAAGGCTTCCTGCTCTTCTGAGCTGCTCCAGCCTTCGGGATCCCTTTTTCTCAAAACGCAGAGAGCTGCCGGGCAGAGGGGGCGAGGCGGTCCCCGGCGGTGGGCCTCGAGGTGGGCCCCCCTTGCTGAGCCACGAAATGCTGCACGCCCAGATCCCGCCTGCCCCACCCCTCCGGCCGCCCCCTTCCTCCCCATCACCTGCCCGGAGGCCCTCGGGATCCGCCCGGTCCTGGCCGCTCCGCTCAGGCAGGCCGCTGGGCAAGGGAGGCTCCCGGGCTAGTTATCTCCTGCAGCCCAGCAGGGTGGGACTTCCACGAAGCCGGGGCCTCGCTCGTCTTTATTTCAGGCCGGGCGCCATCCTGGGCTTCAGCGGCTTCAGGCTGGAAAAAAATTCCTATGTTGAAACCGTCCTTTGCTTGATACGGGGAAGGAATGGCGGGCAGAGCTGCACCAGTGGGATTTCTGCAGCGGTCCGGGTTTCTGTGCCTAGGAGAATCGGCCTGCCCAGCAAAAATGAGCCCCGAGAAGGATTTGGGGGCAGAAATGCAAGGGGTACTTCAAGCTGCAGTGGCGGAGGCTCCCCCCACCAGTCTGCTCCCTCCTGGGGGTCCTCAGTCTTTGGGGGTTGGGGGCATTTGGGGCTTTGCACAGCTGTGGGGGCGCTCTAGCAAAATGGCCCCACAGCAGGACGGCCAGGCAAACCTCCTCCCGCCCAGGAGCTGCCGGTCCCAAGGAAGTGCCTGCCCGGCTCTCGAAGGAGGGTGCGCGGGACCCAGCGCGGGGGCTGCCGGTCCCGTGCCCTCCGAGCATGGCTGGCTCGGGGCAGGCCCCCCGCCGGACACGTGCGGCTACCGCGACCTCACAATGGGGGCGGCAGCCGGGGCTTCCGGAACGCCTGCGCTGGCCGAGCCCCGCGGGCAGCCATGGCGGAGCTGGGCGGGTCGGTCCCCCTGGCGCTGGCCTGGGCGCTGCTGAGCCAGCCCCCCGTGCGGGCCGAGGGCCCCGCTCCGTGCGAGCAGCAGCTGCGGCAGCGGCAGCGCGCCCTGGAGCCCGAGCAGGCCTGGACCTCCACGGCGGCCCTGCTGAGCAGCGCCTGCGCCATCTGGCTCTTCGTCTTTTACGCCCTGCGCTGCCTGTGCGCGAGGAGCAGCCGCTGCGGCCCGGCGCCGGGCGAGTCCTGCGAGGCGCCGTGGGAGGTGAGGCGGCGGGGCCTGGGCGGTGCTGGCCCCCGCCCGGCCTCTCATCCCGGGGGGGCATCGCAGGCACCCTCGCCTTGTCCCCCACCTGGGCGAGGCTTGCCCAGTCGCCCGGTCTGCCCAGGCGGGTCCACGGGCCAACGGTGCCCCCGCAGGCCGGGGGGCACGCTGGCCACTTGCTCCTGGCACGGCGCTGGCTCGAACCGGCTCCGGTGGCGCAGGCACTGCTGGAGCCCCTCCGGCTGTCATGGCCCCTCCAACTCTCCCCCCCCTTGTGCCTGACTGTCGCCTCCCCCTTCCCCCTCGGACAGGGTGGCCACGGCTCCTGTGCGGACGCAGAGGACGCGGGTTCCCCCTCGTGCGGCTCCCAGGCCTTGGCCTGCGCCCAGCCCCACTGCAGCCCCCGCAGGCCGGCGGCCGGCCAGCCCCAGGCGGCGTACGCCCAGCGGCTGGCGAACATGGAGTGGGAGCTGGAGAGCTTCCTGCACGAGGTGCGACAGCAGCGATGCGTCCTGGGGGAGGCGGCCGCCGAGGGGAGCGGCCCCCACAGCCCCACGTGGGACCCCGACAAGCTGCGCATCACCATCTACGAGATCGCGGACCGCGAGGCGGCTGCGGGGGGAGAGCGCACCGGGCAGCGGCGCAGGCTTAAATGAAAGCGGCGAAAGGACGGCGCTGAGACGAGCTGGAAGACCCCGTGGGTTTTGCCCTGCCATGTAGTTTGAGCTCTTTCCTATTAACAAGAAATACATTGATACAAATGTCAACTTGACGCAAACAAGGCCTGATTCTTCTTCTATATGGTTTTTTAAAATGTCTCAAGCATTGCAGCACTAGATGTAAATAAACCTCAGGGGAACTCACGTCCCAAGCGTAGTGAGTTGAATTTGCAAGCAAGTTTAAGCACGCAGTCAGAAAGGGGAAAGACAGAATCTTCTCTGTCGCTTGGGAATGCCCAAAAAGCAGATCCATTCCGCCTTTATACACACGCTTCCCAATGGGACCCATTATCTGAGCCTCGCAAAGCCGTGGTGCGGATGTTATGTTTCTCCTCATCTCGCCCATTTGGCTGCTGGGAAATGAATGTTTTGAGGCTGGTCACATCCCCCCGGGCAACCCCCCCCCCCCCATGAACCCGAATTTCCCCCCCCTCCCAAAGGATTTTGGCCCCCCTGCTTTAAAGAAAGGGATTGCCCCCCCCCCCCAACTCTTACGTTTCCCAGAAGGCCCACAGCTTCATGGGACTTTTGCAAAGAGCAATAAAACGCTGGGAGCATTTCACCCGTTCGGTTCAGAGATGGCTCTCCTGCTTGGCTCTTTTCCCAGACTCGTGAAGGAAGTACAGATGAGTCATGCCGTCCCTCGGGCCATGACCTGAGCCCCACCTGCGATCGATTGAGGCGCTGGTGTTGCCTCGTAGGAGGGCGTTGCCTTGGGCGGGTTCCCAAACCTTTTGGCTCGGGGGCACCCCGGGATTCTGTGGGAGCTCTCGCAAGATGGGTGCCGGGTTGTGGCTGCCATGGTGGGTGGCGCACTGCTCACGAAACATGCTTTGCGGGAGGCAGCCAGGTGAGGCTGAAGGCAATGTGCTGAGAGCACCTGGGCCAGGCAGAGGCGCATGCAGAAGGCCAGGAGGCCATGCTTTGGAGCACAGATCGAAGGGCGCCGGAGGGCAGCGTGGCATTTTCCAACCTGCCGGCCTTCCCATTAGAAAAAAGAGTACATCTTAGGAAACTGGAGAACCTGGTGGGTGCTGGGGGGGGGGTGTATATGTACCCCCATGGCTACCTCATTGGGGCCCCCACCCCCAGGGAAACCGCACTGCTCAAAAGTCGAGGGGTTAAGAATCAAGGGTTTGGGAGGGGTCTTAAAAGTTCATCTGGACCAACCCCCAATCGCATCCCTGTAGCGTTGACCAGACAACCTTTCCTCCCACATCCAGCTTGACAAGGACCTCCTGTGCCCTCTGCCCCACGCGGGGCACCCCAAACGCTGCTCCGCTTCCCCTGCTTCCGACACCCACAAGCAAAATGGCAGCTCGCAGGCCGGAGGGTGGGCGGACGCTCTCCCAGCCCCAGTGGTGCCTGCTGGGGGCAGGGGGCTTTATCCTCCCTCCGTGGTGATGGCACAAAGGGCGGGAGCTGTCGCCCGGCCTAGCATGGGGGAGCCCCCCCCCCCGGGGCCAGAGGCTTGCGAGAAACACCCGGCTGAGCCAGGGGTCCCATCCACTCCCCCTGCCGGCTTCCGCACCAGCAGCCATGGCCCTCCGAGGCATCCCCCTGCCCGCCGCCCTGGCCTGTGCTCTCCTGGCCGTGCCCTTCTGGGCCGGGGGGGCCGCTGGCACACGCGGCCCCTGCCAGCAGCACCAGCCGCCCCAGCAGCAGCCCCGCTTCCGCCAGCCCCCGCCCGGCTCCTTCCAGTGGCCCAGCTACTGGGTCCCGCTGATGGTCGCCGTGGGCGGCTGCTGCGCCCTGGCCTGGTGCGTCCTTTTCGTGGCCTACAACGTGAGCCAGAGAGGGGGCAAGGCGCTGCCGCAGCTCCCCAGCGAGGAGGGGAAGGCGCCCGCGCCCGCCCTGGTGAGTCTCCGGCATCGGCCGGGGGGACGAGGTGGGGGCGCGAGCACCGGGGACCCGCACGTGAGCGGCGGCGGCCGTGGGCACCCCCGCGAGCGGTTTCCTGGCCTCCGCCTGCCCACATGCGTGGCAAAACGGTGCCGAGTTGCCGCCAGCCGCCGTGGCAAGTCCCTCCGGAAGCCCCGGTCAGCCAGAGCGAGCGAGGGGAGGCCACCTCGCGGAGCGTGGCCTCGGTGGCTCTTCTTGCCACCGGGTGTCGCCCAGACTCTCCAGCGTTGCCCGGCCCAGCTCTGGCCCCGTCCCCAGATTGGGTGCAGGTGGCGAGACGGTAGATCCGATCTTCTTGTCCACCTCCGAGTTTGAGGAGACCAGCGAGAAACTCCGGCTCTGCGTAGGAATGGGGGGATGGATTTGGGTGTGACGGGGTCTGCAAGGCTGTTTCGGGGCCGGGTCTCAAAATGCTGAGCTTGGCATGTAGTCAGGAACACCCTGCCCCCTTCTGCAAGTTGTGCCTGCATCTCGGGCCGCCAATATGCATGGTGCTAGATCTCATGGTTCTAACCAAAAAGCCAGGCAGACCCCGCCAGCCCTGCTACGTCTTCCAGAAGAAGCATAGCATATGGAAGGGACAGCAGAGAGCGGGGCTATGGAAGCAGCCCACGATCGGTTGGGGGGCAGAGCGTAGCGGCAATGGGGCGCAAGGAAGGGAAATTTCCGCCTCTGAAATGTGTGCCCACCTGAGACAGGAGGCCCCATCAGGACGGGGTGCCAAAAGCCCGAAACGGTCCCAGGAATGACCTCCCTTTCTCCCCTGGACAGGACGACCAGAAGGATGTGGTCAAAACCCTCTTCCAGGCGGACAGCGAAACCCTCCGGGGCGCCTGCTGGCCCGAAAACCAAGCCCCAAGTGAGAGGATCGCGAGCCATTCCTCGCTGGAAAAAAATGTCACCATGGACAGGACTGGAACGTCTCCCCAGCTGGAAAACCAGGCCGCAGGTGGGCCCACGTGGGGCCGATCCCAGCTGGAAAACCAGGCCGCAGGCGGGCCCACGTGGGGCCGATCCCAGCTGGAAAACCAGGCCGCAGGCGGGCCCACGTGGGGCCGATCCCAGCTGGAAAACCAGGCCGCAAGTGTGGTGACACAAGGCAATTCCCAGCTGGAAAACCAGGCCACAGATGTGATGGAGATATGGAGCCCTTCCCAGCTGGAAAACCGAGGCTCGGGTGTGGCGACCCGGGGCCCCTCCCAGCTGGAAAACGCCACCGCGAGCCGGAGGAGCAGGAGCTTTTCCCAGCTGGCCAGCAAGGTGTCCGGCATGTTGGCTCAGACGCCGTCCTGCACGGAGCAGAGCGTGGTGCGAGAGAGTCCGGAGAGCGAGCCCCGCTTGGAAAGCCGGCTCTCCGGCGAAAGGACGGGCGGCTCTTCCTGCCTGCAGAATCAGGTCCTGGAGGGGGGCAGCAGGGAGCCCCCCCTTCAGGGGCCGCCGGGGGCCCCGGTCGCCACCCCGGCCGACGAGCAGCCCAGCGGCACGCTGTGGGCCTTCGTGGAGCGGGAGCTGGAGGCCCTCCTGGTCAAGCTGCGCCTTCTCCGGACCGGCAGGCCGGCCTCCCCGGACGAGGACGCCCCGAGGCCCCCCTCCCCGGAGCGGCCCCCCTCCCCGGAGCGGCCCCCCGCCCGAGGCCCGGAGCGGCCCGGCACCTGCGCTGAGCAGAGGCCAAGCCCCGCGGCCGAGGAGGCCGCCGGCCCCCCCAGGACGGCCTTGATGCACTTCATCTTCTGCGAGCTGCCCCGAAGCCAGAGCCCCCCCCGGGGCCGGGGGCGCAAGCGCCGGGGGGCCAACAGGGGGTGCAAATAAAGCGCTGCTGGGGAGGAAAGAGGGAGTGGCCGGTGTGGTGGTCCCAGGCGGGAGGGGTGGCGAGGCAGGGCCCCCCCGTCCCCGATCACTCCTCGGGGGGGGGTCCCCACTGCGATTTCCATGGGGCTCCAAGTGGCTCGGGGCGTCCCCGTGGCGCCGTTCGGGTAGGACTCCGGGGCGGATGTCCAGGGCCCCGATCCGCAGAATCTGCAGCGCAGAAGAGCCTGAACGCAGGCAGCCTGGCTTCCCCCGATTCAAGGAGGGATAATACGCCCGTGGCGGAGCTGGGCCCACAGCGCAAGCATCCGCAGCAAGGGATGCACGTGCAGAGGAGGTGGGCTCACGGCGGGAGGGGTCCCATGGGGCGTCCCCAGGGCCCCCCAAAACCACACTTTGCACAGAAAGAGCCCTTTCACCGGGAAGGGCCCCCCACATTTCCGGCTGCCCCACAGGCATCCCCTAGCCCTGCCTTCCTTTCCCCCACACAGCCAGGACCCCCATGCCACACGAGAACACCACAATGCGGCCCCCGTCTAGCGAAGCAAATATTGCTTCATGGGAACACGGCACAGAAGCCCCACTTTCTCCACGGAGCTCTCGTCAGGCGTAAACCAGGTTGATGCAAGCAGGACATTCCAGCATGATTCCTAAAAAAACAACAATTAACCCGTGGCTCGTGCCCTAATTTCAACAGGGGCCCCTTTCAAATTTCCAGCACTGTTTTCCCCAGATCACAAACACCCACATATTTGTATTTCTGAGTTTCACTCTAGAAAGAGGAAAATCCTGTGCGTATATAGACGGAAATTTGTCCCACAACTTCCAGCCAACCCGACTGACACGCAACCACACCTTTCAGAGAAGGGTCTCCATTTAAGCTGCCAGTGAGAAAATGGCTCTCAGAATCATATCCCGGCTGCTTCACCTCCGAACTAAGGTGCCAACCTTAGTTGGTGCCAACCTTAGTTGGTGCCAACACAAGTGTGCAGAATTCGCACTGCAACAGCCCCTTGGCCCAGCCTCAAAAGCCCCTTCTGAGCTGTCAAGTTCAGACCCTGGCCCAGAAGGCTCGGTCGCTGCCCCACAAGCTCCCTAGGTGGGGGCTATGGGGAGCGAGAAAAGAGGTGGCAAAAGGGGGCGCTGCCCTTTTTTGGTTTTTACCCACCCACGGCTGGCTGCAATCCTCCAGCCGTTACATTTCAGGGGGTGCAGCTCCCCCAAAACATTCCCACCCCTCTGTCCTGCAGGGTCTTCTCTTCCACTCCTTTTAAATTCGAC